ATAAGCACACATACCTGCTCCGTGATGCTGATGACCTCCCCTGCTCACTGGCATGGACCTCCTGAAAGTCTGTGATGAAAGTGATCTCAAGAGATCACCCCGAGTTTCGGTCCTTGTGAAATGCGGGCATGATTTTGTGACCTAAATAAACACCAAATACTACAGCTCGTTTTTCTTTTGCGTTCTCTGAATTCCTGCGAGAAATTCGGGTTGTTGTTAGGTAAGTTATACCCCACCAAGACATCAAACAAGCGATTAACACCCGGTGACACAAAGTGCTACCATGCGGACGAGGATCACCCGTAAAGAGGTCCCGGAAACCACGTTCATCCGTTAGGCCATATTAATGGCCCGGCTATATTTAGGGCCCCTGGTAAAATCCATGGTGGGGCTACAAAATAACGAAAAATTGCATTCCACGAGGGGACGACAGTAATTACTAATCCTGGTTGTTCACCCATTGTCTTGTTCCAGGACTTCAGTGTTACGTACACATCCGTTATACAAATTTTGGCTTACTGTGTGCAGACTGTTGGTTCCTCGCGTCTCAGGCAGATGCGTTTCTAGCAAGCGACAGACTCAGGTGGAAAGAAGACTTTCACAAACCAGGAAGTGGTGCTCTAATTTTTCTTCTTTAAATTTGTGTATATTGTCACCAGGGCTTAAAAAAAGTGCCGGTACTCGTCACAAAGTGCCTTTAATCACCATAAAGTATCTACTACAGTCGAACTGGAAAAAAAAGATACATGAAAAGGTGCCGTTACTGCGCAATCATCATCATCATGTAGCAGCTCCTTTGCAGAACGTCGCTCTTACCACAGTCTGCCTGAAAGAAACTCGGTCTCCCGCCAGTTCTCCCACCTCATGTGCTTTCATACTCAAGGAGTCACTTATATCCTGTACCCATCTTCGTGTACTGCGCAGTACCGACCTCCCCCCCCCCCCCCCCCCACCACCAAAAAAAACCAAGGTCATCTTCAGATTAAAGTTAATCTGAAGGTCTTGGGTTCGAATCCACATCGAGTCGGTTGTTTTTCCTTTTCAGAACTAGCCATGGCCCCTAGGTCGAAGCAGCAGTCTAAAGTAGATACCAGTGCCATGGGAAGCAAAGGTGGCCGGCATGATATTGACCATCGATTTATTTATAAAATATGACTCTAGCATCACGTGCCCACTGACATAAAAAAGGTACTTTATTTACTTATTTTACTCAGCGCAAAGTATGGATGCGTACAGTGGAAGAGATTGTGGCCCACCAGGTAATACGCCCAAAGACAGCAGTGGGTGCGAAGAAATATTCTCAGCCTTTATTGTGGGCATGGTACAGGACGTTGCAGAACCAACCCTAACAGCCCCTGGCTGTTGTGTGGTTTCTCTAGGCAATTTACAGCCAGTAGTTTGCCATTGCTTTCTGGACGTTCGGCTTTCTTGATACCACTGTCGAAACCAACGCAAGGCGCATTGCCCGCAGCTGGGATCGAACCTGGCATCCCGGCATTACGAAGCGAAACGTTCGCATCGACTTAGCCACAGAGCCCACCGGGCATGGTAAACATGTGTTTAAAGTTTTCATTATTAATCTGAAAGCGAGTTCCCGTGGCGTAGCGGCTAGACACTCGTTTGCGGATCGGAAGGTGGTGGGTTCTCTCCATGGCAGAGCCGGACTTTAAAAAAAAACCTTGACTTCCCAGGTCGACCCAGCCTTGGGTGGGTACCAGGTGCAGTCCCAGGAAGTAAAGGCGGACGGTGTGATGCTGACCACATCACCCATCTTGTGCCGTTTGGTCTATAAAATATAGCTCCAGCCCTATATGCCAGCCTAAGGGCGTGGAAAAGTTTTTTTTTTTTTTTTTTTTGACTTTACTCACTTATTATTAATCTAAAAAGTCCCCCAGGAATTTCTCCTCTTCTTTTGCAATTACTTTTCCAGGGATTGCATTCTGAAAGATTGACGCCTAGGAACTCAAATGGCAACTTTTCGCCTGCGAATCCATAATCACAACTCAGTAGGACTTTCACAGAGCACACTCCCATCATTGTCTTTGTGAAAGAAACTCAGTTACGATTCGCCATCCTAATATAGGTCGCAATTTTTCGTTATTTAAAGCTTCACTCCTGCTGTTGTCGGGGGCTCTAACAAATTTAACGGCTGAACGAGGCTTGTACCAGGGTGAACCTCATGCGAATGATAGCACTTTATGTTACCGGCTGTTGGTCGCTCGTTGTACGGTCCTCGTTGTGTTGAAAGACACACAGAAACTCGACTGCAACCTTTCAAACAAGAGGTCTATTTTCTTTTTGGCTCATTTTAAGGCCTCACAGTCTGGGGAGAGTGGCGCAGCAAGGGGGGATAAGGGGATCTGGACGCTCAGAGGAAAGGCAAGACGAACGTATAATCAGAAAGTTGTTGGCATCATTGGTATTGGAATTCTGCGCTGGCTGCTGAAGATAGGGACAGAGCGCTTATATGAATGCTCCGAGTGCTGTTATGTCGGTTGTTGAATCAACTTAACTTAACTCTAAGTCTCACTCTGGCTGTCGTCGTAGACCCAAATATAACCTAACGGTTAAATAGATTTTCTAGAACACGTGCACGGGTGATTCTCATCCGAATAGTGGCACATTGTATCCCTTTGTGTATTTGAACCTTGATCCCCCGCCAGCTCTCCTACTTCAGGCACTTTCCTGCCGAAATGTCTCTTATGCCAAATGCTCATCATCGCGTCGGTTGGAACCCATCCCTTTCATCGGATACCACACCCCCCGTTTCTGTCCTCTCCACCCACAGTGACGCCTGAAATGATTATATTATTTCAGTTTCCGAGACAAGAATATGTTTTTTAAGGCAGTCTTCCCCCCCCCCTCCTTTTTTTTTCTTTACAATGGTCCTTGGTATTAAAAGAATCGTTCTATACTATTTCGGTTAAAAGCCCATACTTTCTTCCTCTATGATTGTGAAAGTCCAAGAATCACACACGTATGTTGCTAAAGGAAAGAGACATGCTTTTAAAACGTGGACTTTGATTTGCATACTCGTGCTTAGGCATAAACTTTTAATGCTTGATGCAACTCCAGCAAATCCAGAGATCATGTTCAACGTATACAATAGGTATAATAGGATCGTCTGCTGTTGCGAAGTGACAAGGTAACCTGCTGTCTTGTTTTGGGTTATGAAACAAATAATTTTGGTGTTTGTACCCAAAGCAATGGTCAACTAGGGCCAAACCCTCTTTCTTTTATCATCTTCATCAGCTAACTAAATGTTTCTAACTTCTCCATGTCTGTGAATGTCTTCCTCCAATTGTTTTCTCTCACCATGGTTCAAGAGCCAAAAGGGAGAAGCAAAGAATAAAAACACTCACAATATCACTCAGCGAGTTCCAGTTATTCTTTTCTATACCTTTAGTTTGCTGAGCCATTGGATTGGATTTTTTACCCCACCAGGACATCACACAAGCGATAAACACCCGATGACACAAAGTGCCACCATGCGGATGAGGATCACCGTGGAGAGGTCCCAGAAACCGCGTTCAGACATTTGGCCATAATGATGACCTGCCTATATTGCGGCCCCTGGCAAAAGCCAGAGTGGGGCTTCAAATAACAAAAAATAACGTCCTAAGAAGGACGAAAAGCAGTAATTGCTGAGCCATTGGGATTTATTACTATATATACCCCTCGCCTTCATCCACCTCTCTCATTAGCTTTCTCTCTCCAGATGTTAACTCCAGTTATTTTTAGATCTACCTATTTGTGATCAATCAAATCAAATCCACCGTCGTCTTGCTCTGTTTGGCAGGCAAGGCGGTTACCACTACTGGTCCGGCACTGAACAAGAGTGAGGTCATTAATACCATGCGAGCTGCCTATCGTAGAGAATATCCCGACAGCAAGCAGAGCTAAGTAAAAAAAAAAAAAAAGTAAAGTCGGGAGATGTGAACCAGCGTCATTGCACACGGTTATAAACCATAAGTGATAAGTGCTCTGCCACCAGTACGGACAGCTTGGTGCACATTGGTGTGCAATCTAGAGTAGCCAGATAATAATATTTCACCTAGGGTACAAGGCGTCTGGTTAATCAATAGAGAACGGGTGTGATCAGTCGTCTTACACTTGTGAAGATACTGAGGAAATCGAAGCACCTAAGTATCTGACTAAAGTGCAGTGATTATAGTCTTCACTAATAACTAACCTTGATCTGTCTCGCGGTCTACTCTCAGTTAAATATACCACTGCTACAGGATAGGGCAGACGTGGTTAGTGCCTTGTGGGAGAGCGTGTACAATGCGGAGGAGCAGATGGATCACCACAGTCTGGTGAGATTGATGCAGTTGGGGGTGACGAGAGGTTCTGGCAGAAGCTCAAGGCTCAGAGGAAAGGCAAGACGGACGTTTAATCAGAAAGCTACTGGCACCATTAGTATCGGAACTCTTCGCGGGCTGCTGAAGATGGGGACGGAACGCTTATGGGAATGCCCCGAGTGCTGTTATGTCGGTTCTTGAATCAAATCAAATCAAAATATACCACCCTCTCTAAATGCCCTAACCTTTGCAGGCTAATGCCCCCTCCCCTTCCAGTGGCCAATTCTAGGAAGACCAAGAGAGAAACTGTTGGGTAGTTTGGCATCATAACTTTTTCGTCTTCTTTTTGACGCACATCGGATGTAAACTCCGGCGGAAAGTTCTGGCTGTACGTCAAATGCTGGACATATGTCTTGTTCCAGAACTTGCGTAGGGGTGAAGTGTGGGGACGTGTCTGAAGTGCCAGGAAGATAACCAAACTCATCAATCGTGGGTGAACTGCATGCGATACCAAAAGTTAAAACTTCTTAGCGTGAGTTGGTAGAGAGCTTGCTTAACTTATACTCCATTTGTGGATAAATTGAGGAATTAGCAGAATAAGCGAAGGAAGAAACATATGTATACAGTCAGAGCAGTCTAAAATCCGATAGCAGACTATTTCTCCACATTGGAGAGTTTGCGTGTGGCCCACAACACAACATGGCATTAATAACTATCTCATGGAGAGCTACTTCTTGTTTACTTCGTCGTTCTTGTTCCCTTGCTTCGGCACGGTGCGTGAGTGGTCCGTCTTCAGCAGCAGAAGACACACACAAAGGAAAAGTTCGTAAGTGAGAATAGATGTATACAATATTTTAGCAAAATTTATCAGACTGAAGTGAATGAATGACCTTCCGTTTTCGGCCATCCTCCGAATAACGGTCCCAACTCATCGAGGCCAAAAATATACCCTAACAGGGCCTCAGTCCAATGTCAGTTGCGCACTTCCGGGGATTATACCGCAAAAAACCGAATTGTGGACTTCCGCCACCACCGAGAGTATCTCGCTAAACTAGTTGGCTGGGACGCAGGAGCAAATGAAATGTAGGAAGCTGCAGGAGATGCGATAGCTGCTGCTTGTGAGTCCCAGCCATCAAGTTTAGTAGCCGCATGGGAGATACTCTCGGCGGTGGCGGGAGTGCACAATTGAAGTCGCAAAAGTCCGCAATGGACATGTGACTGAGGCCCTGTAAGGGTATATTTGTGGCCTCGATAATTTGGGACCGTTATTTGGAGGATTGCCCTGTTTTCCATTTATTGATAATTATTAATTAACCCTTTTAGCACGGGACATTTTTCAGAGGTCTAGCCAAAAACACGGAGCATTTTTTCAGTGAATTTGGTTATTACTTTATTAAATTTTTTTGACAGATTTCTGTTATTCTGACCCCTATGAAATAATATATATATTTGAAGGATATAGATTGAAGTTTGTGATTTTCACAATATCGTTAAAATTAATTGATGTATATGCAAATTATCTCATTTGCACATCTAAAAATAGAAAATATGAATTTGAATTTTCAACTTCAATGCTTGAAACATAAAACTAAAAACAAAAATTTTTTTATTTGAAATCTTTTTATTGATCCTTGGCCTTTTTACAAAATGTTGTTAGCAATTCAATAGTCAAAAACAGGTATATATATATATGTGAAACAGCAATAAAATCTTTAGGTGACATGTGTTTTTCACCATCAGTCAGCACTAGAAATGGATGTGCCGGAGTGTCAACACCTTCGGGTGGATATACCCTAAGCCATGGTTGGGCTGTGGTCTGAACACAACAGCGTCCCCATCTGATTCCCACTATTACTACTAACACTAAATCCTGCATCAGTATCAACAGAATTAGTGTCATCACTTGATTCAAATGTTTTATCAACATCAAGTTTAGGGGCAGAAACATACGAGTCAGACATACTTTTAGCGGTTCAGGTCACTATCTAAAAAAATTCAACAACAATTTTCACTTCGATACCAAACACTCGAAAGTCGCCCTGTGTAAAGCTGATACCGCAGTTAATATAAATGAATCACTTTCAGTGTTTCAAAGTAGGAGATTTCTTAGCGGTTCGAGGCGAAATACGATCGGGCCGATCATCGGCCGTTCCGTGTTTTTGGCCAGACATCTGCCGGCCGATAATTGGCCCGTCCGTGCTAAGAGGGTTAATATGGCTCTCCTGTCAACTACGGCCGGTAGACAACAGTAGACGGCCGGTTAGTTGGAGTTCTGTCCCCTGGAGAGCCTCCTGTGTTGAATCCTGACCTAGTGTTATCCCAACACCCTTTCCGCAACCTTGTTGCTGTAGTCTCCTTCCTTGGCACTTGCACTACTCGTGTCACTAATCTTGCACAGCTACCGTGTAACAAACAGCTTGCTGATTTCTGGGTTTGGTTTGGAGAAGGTAAAAGTAAAATCAGTTTGCAACACAGTCCCCTTGGTACTCTGGTAGCATGTCAGAAGAATATACACCAACCTCACTTTAGATTAATAGAAAGATGCAAGTTGTTTTCAGGTATAATAGTCAGTGGGCATATCATTATCAACACATGAGTCTTAAGATTTATTTCTTAACCCAGGAAATGATTTTAAAAATCAATCATTTGATATAGGTCAGTAATGGATTTTAAAAAATATTTATCTGCATTACAAGTTTTCCTCCCCGACATACATTGAGTGGAGGGCTATCCTCCGAATAAGTCGCCAGAAAGAGGTTTGCAATTTACATATGACTGATGCCCTGCTAGGGTATTTTCTTAGCCTCGATAATTTGGGACCGTTTTTCGGAGGATAGCCTGGAGAGCTCAGGTCTAAAATGTAGGATTAGGCATGACAGAATGTTTAGCTTCAAAGTTTTTTTCTTCTGATAGTACTTTGCTAATGCAGTTTTCACCTATGGACGGTATATGGTTTTGCTGCCTGAGCTCCTGAATTTAGTGCTTTGTGCAGCCCTGTGAGCTGCATTTTTCATGTGGAGTGCCTTTATTTGTGCAGTGGTTTTGTTGAGGTATTCATTATGGTTGATAGCAGTTGACATGTGAGCTAGTGAAATACCTTATGTAATAATTATATGTGTGTATAGCCAACTTATTACGCCTGACTACTTCCATCAATGACAAACTGCATTTCTGGTGGTGACTGTTGGCTTTGGCAGCTCTGGCAACTGCCATATGCATTTACTGCCTGCGCATAAAGAAAAAGTGTGTATCTGGTAACTCATGCTGTGACTCGATGACATGTTACGCTGAGGCAACAAGAAAATTATATGTCAAAATTTGGTTCACAATAAAATCCCTAAATGCTAATATAGTAAATATATTCATATCCTGACCTCCTAAACATTGTGCAGCTGCAAACACAGCCAATGGCAGTGACTATTGTTTACCAGAATACATCACAGTATCAAGTCGGAAAAGTGACATTTATGGGGAATTAGACCCAAAAAGAAATGTTGGTTTTATGGCTGCTCATGGTGACAGGTTTAAAATGGTGTTTGACACATTGGGTTATGGTTACAGATTGGCTACAACATCTGTGCCCTTTTGGCCAACACATCCAATTGCAACGAACCCCTAATGAGTAATTATTTATGATTTTACGGTATGTTTGTTAGGGGACAGATGAGGTACCCCTCCCTCCCCCCACCACCACCACATAGGGCCCTGGAACCCACCTAGGAATTATTTTAAGATTTACAATGCAATTTCTGAGAGGATCCAGAGCCCTTCAAACTTTTTGTTTTCAAATAGCAAGTTCCTGCTGAGTGTGTGTGAACTCTAAGATTAGTTTGTGATTGTATGTTCACTTTTCTTAAAAAATCTAATGGTAGAATTTACAGTGTTCTGATAATGTTTGGAGCTGAGTTTGTTACTATGTTTTCTCTTTGTTAATCTTCAGCTGTCAGTGAAAATAGATTGTTGGACAGGCTTGGGCACTCAGTTGGCATGGATCGGGCAGAACTGTTGGCAAGGGAAGCAGGCGATGATGTAAGGGTCTTACAGTCGACTTTTATGGACAGCTTAAATTTTAATTTAAAAATTTTAAAACTGAATTACACTGAAATCCATATACATTGGTACAGTGGTATATGTTTTTTTAAAGACTTTTCTTCTTTTTTTCGCGTTCACCAGCTGTAAACTCTGGTGGGAAGTTCTGGTTGTTCATCCACTTATAGACTGCAGTCCTGTTTCAGAACCTGAGTGTTGCATGTGCATCTGTTTTATAGATCTGACTCATTTGTATGCAGACTGCTGATTCCTTGCCTCTCAGGCAGATGCACTGACTTTGAAGGAAGCTCCCAGTTAGTCGACTCTTATGACATGCTTTTGGGTAGGCAGTGGGTCTATTCCTGTTTTCCCTATAACAGGGACCGGGAACCCACACAAAGTTTTTTAGACTCAAAAGCATGTGCTTGGTATATGACCTTTGTTTGGAATATAAACTTGTATGAGTCACAGCTAGTCAGGACACCGCACACTATCTATGTGTAAATGTATATCAGTGACTTTGCAGAGAATGAGTTGAGTCAAGAATTGACATCACAGCACTCGGAACATTTCGTCCTTATCTTCAGCAGCCAGCTCAGAGTTCCATTACTGATGGTACCATTCACAGTTTGGTTATATGTCTGTCTTGCCTTTCCTCTGAGTGTAGTGAGCTGGCCAGACCCTCTGGTTACACCCAGGTGACTCATTCTCTAGGTCATAATAATCTTGTTTGCAGAGAAGTATTATCCCAACAGAACTCTTAATAGCATTGTCTGGAATAACCAGGCAATGTCACATTCCCAGTCATCCTGAGGAGAAGGCAGAAGCAAAGTTCTTTGGGCATTTTTTAGTCAAAGTTCAACCTGATGAGCCTCAACCAGGTTCAGGAAGCAAAAAGAGACAGGAAAAAACAAAGAAGAAAGAGAAAAAAACCTACCAGAATTTCAGATTCATGAAGTTTTATTGGAAAGCAACTGTTCTTCCAAACAATAACATCTCCTTCTCAGTACCATCCTAAAAGGCACTTGACTATTTTTCATTTGTTTTCTAATTGCTTTTGTATTTATCTATTTTAGTGTTTGGCAGTATCTAAATTATTGTAAATAATCCCTTTAATGTGTAATGTGCGGATAACAAAAGAATTTTTTTTTCTAATGGGAAGGGATTAATCATTCTGCATTTATTTCTTATCTGAAAATTAGTTTGGTATATGTACTGATTGGTATACATCAAGAACGGATTAAGTATGTGTCCCAAAGTATCATGGCAGTCTACAGCATTATTTATGTCATTTCATTCTTTCAGTTTCAGTAATAACTAATCTGCATAGAAAGTATTAATGTAACAGCTTTCTGGGATTCTTATTCTTGTTTCTACTCCTGGAATGCCTCGCGGCATCAGGGCAGGCAGCTGTCTCTGGAACAGGCCTTTCTGTTTGCTTCTTGTATAGTACTTTTCAGTGTCTCTGATACTTCTGTAGTCTATGTTCTACGTGGTCGACCTCTGGTTCTGGCAGAAGATGGACCGCAGAAGTATCAGAGGCACTGAAAAATACTATATATGAAGCGAACAGAAGGCCCTTTCCAGAGTGTCTCTTCCAGAAAGCTGTTGCATTAATACTTTCTGTGCAGATTAGTTGTTATTTGAAAACTAACAAACACTGAGTCTTAAAATGTCCTTATTGAATACTGACACATACAACATAGCTGACCTAGTTGACAAACTTTAAAGGTAAAACTAGATCACTCTCTTGCCCTAAGAACTATTCACATCCTGTGTCTTCTTGGCATTTCTCTTCTCTTAGCGTTCACCAGTTGTTAATTTGCTGCGGAAAGTTTTGGTTGTTTGTCTACTTCTGGACTTTGGTGTTTTGCCAGAACTTGAGTTTTTTATGCACATCCATTTTATGGATCTAGAGTATTTGTAAGCACTCTGTTGGTTCCTCGCCTCTGAAAATAGTGCCCTGGTACCCAAACAGGGACCCTTGGTATTTGACTTATTCCATAATTCCAGCATTGTTGAATATTACTAACAGATATTTTCTACTTCATAGGATCCTTTTGAAATGAAAGTCATAAAAAGATCCAAGGGATCATTTGAGGATCCTACTATTATTACATCCCCAAACAAAGAAAGGATGATTGGTTGTATTTGTAAGTATATGTCATGTAATTTGTTTTGTGCTTATGATTATTGTTCATATAATTGTAAGTAAAAAGAAGTAAAGGACACCCATTTTTTTAAAAACACCTTTAGGACATTGGGCATATAGTAAGTAAAATAAAGTAAAGATCCCTTCTCACGCCTTAGGCACATCGGGCATATGGGAAGAGCATCCAATATTTTTACAGACCAATCCGCACTAGGTGGGTAGTTACTTACTAGTCGTTTCCGTGTGGGATGCAATTTTTCATTATTTGAAGCTCCACCCTGGCTTTTGCCAGGGTCCCTAACTATAGCCAGGTCATAAATATGGCCTAACGGCTGAACAGGGTTTCTGGGACCTCTCTATGGGTGATTCTCATCTGCCTGGTTGCACTTTGTGTCACCGGGTGTTCTCTGTGTGATGTCCTGGTGAGGTAAAATTTACTTACACTTTGTGGGTGATGTAGTCAGCATTACGCCGGCCGTCTTTACTTCCCCAGGACGGACATATAGTGCTATACCTTAATTTTGCATAGACCTATCAGCACTTGACGGGTGATGTGGTCAGCATCAACCTGGCCACCTTCACTTTGCATTATGTTAGCTGGTACTCATTTTAGACTGGGTTGATCTGGGAGTCAGCGTCAATTCTGGTTTCCATTTTAAGCTGGTTTGATGTGGAAGGATTGATAAGTGAAAAAAAATATTTCTCTTATCGAAGGAAATTCTTCTCCTTAGCATTCATTAGCTGTAAACTCCAGTAGAAAGTTCTGGTTGTTTATCCACTTCTGGACTTTTTGTTTGTTCCAAGACTTGAGTGTTGCATGCACAATAGTTTTACAAATCTGGCTGTTTTTTATGCAGTCTGTTGGTTCCTTGTCTTTCAGGCAGATACATGCCTACTTCAAAGGAGGTTCTCATTTTAAGCTGGTTTAATGTAGGAGTCCTGATAAGTTACAAATATTCCACATTTTGAAGGAGATTTTAGAACATACAACGTGTGATCTTTGGTCTGTGAGTTCTGATATTTGTACTGGCTCACCACAAACAGTTTACAACGAGCTAGTGTGGGGCATAGATGTGGACATTGCAACAGTGTAGAACATGGAGACTTAACCCATATACAAGTGTGGATGTTTGCAAGTGAGGGTGCTTGTGTCCCTACTAACCTTTCCCTCCTGGAGAGTTTCACTGTGAGAGACTGGGCAGCCATGTCTCCTGACTGCTCATCAGTGGTCAGCATGGGGCTAGCCTGGCATGCAGTGTCTGTCTAGGTTAGTGGCAAGTATGTCCTATTAAGGAGAAGATTAGAATGCCTGTAGATCTAAGTGATGTGTTGATTATCTTCACTGATCACTGATCGTCTACTAATTACTTATAAGTATGTATGTCACATATCGCTCCTGTCACGTGCCTGTTTTAAGGATTTCTCCTTAAGAACCAACAGCACTCTGAAATAATTATTTTGAGTCGTTGGCTCGTATTGGTCTAAGGGATGCCCCGTGGCCAATATACGCTCAACCTTTTTCAGGAGTAGGGCAACTCAAGTTTTGGCACTACAAAATATATAATATTCCTAGACACACTTGGCTGGACACCCCCACTACTATAAAAAGGAAGCCCCCAGGTTATGATAGTATACTATCATAGCCATGTTAACACAGATAACACTTATTACTCACACAAACATCAAAGCTAGACAGATTTGATCTGGTACAAACTGACTGTCACAAACGAGGACACAGGAACTGCACAGGAGCCCACAAAAGCTCTTGGAGACTGTGATGCCCGCTGCCGGTCTCACAGGTGATGACACAACAAATGCATAAGAGCCCAATAAAGCTCTTGAAGACTGGTTCTCTGGATTGATGACATAGGTGTCTGCAATTGTCCACTGGTCCTGGAACTCACAAACATGCTCTTGCCATGTTGAGGTAGTGGCACAACATACAGGACTTTTGGATCTGCTTGGTGCACAGACTGGTATAGGTTGGTGGTTGTTGGCTGGACTGTGATTCGTCTGCCTGATCTCTAAGGAGGTATCATCCCAAGCTTAGGAAATCTTCCAAGATAGAAATGGAACTTTGGATGCGCCAATTTCTACATAGACTGTATACACGTCTTGACACTTTGGGATCAGGCGAAAGAATGTTTTTTCAAAATCAAACTTAGCGTCTCTAGGAAAGAAGTCCCCGGTATTCCTGCCCAAGGAGTAAACCGGTTTACAGTATTTTCTAAATAAATTACCAGAAATCGTCAACCTACAGTTGCAAGTTTGAAAATGAAGATTTATCAAAGCAACTAGAGGGTCTAGAAATGAATATATCACCATATAAAGGTATATATCAATATAAGGGACTATATACCTTTCCAGACAGGTTTAAGTTTGAAATTTGACTGAGCGCTAGGGAAGTCAAAGTCCCACTCGTCCATTGTGTAGGGTTGGCTGCTCACCTCACGACAATGTGTGAATGTTGAATTAGGAATCGACATCACAACACTCAAGACACTCCCATAAGCGCTAAGTCCCCCATCTTCAGCAGCAAGCGAAGAGTTCCAATTCCAATGGTACCAGTAACTGTCTGATTGTATATCCGTCTCATCCTTCCCCTGTGTGTTGAGCGTCGGCTAGAGCGCCTGGTAACTCCTCGCAGCGCCATTCTCCTTAGACCATAATGATCTATCTGCACCTCAGCACTGTTCACCCGCTCCCGAAGGGCCCTCACAATATCTAACTTGTCATACATCAATTCCCTACCAAGTGGTGCAGAGCTTGCCAGTCTATCTGTTTGCTCATTTCTCAACACAACGGCATCACCTGGTATGGTATAAGTATGTGTGATGAAAGAAGAATAATGGATATTTTAAGCGGTTTCTGTTTTTCTCTCTTTGCAGGTGAAGAAGATTCCCTTACAATTAACTGGATGTATTTGAACAAAGACGAGCCCAAGCGCTGTGAATGTGGTTATTGGTTTAAACTTGTAGACGCTTCAGAACAGTACTAGTCCGAAGAATGTTTAAATATAATTTTTTTCCCCCAATGAACCATGCTTAACACTGCTTTAAATCCTGTTGTATAATTTTTAAAAGCTCCACCAGATATAAGGTTCTCACTTTTTTATGTCAGAATTTTATTTTATAAGAATACTGTTAGCAAAGATGTGAGAATTGTGTCTCATGTTTATGTTTCTCTGATTATTTATCTTGTAGATTAAAAAAATGATAATAGCCACTAGTTTTCATTTCTGTAGATGTTGGTGATGTTTAAACTATGGCTTTCTGATCGTAGCTTCTGAGTGACACTTTTCAAATGCATATGATTCTTAAATAAAGTTTAATGAAATGTTAGATGAATCCTTTCAGTACCTGCCATATATTATTTAACTCAGGTTGTCCCAGGAAATTGTTGCCCAACTCTTTCGGTCTAGTAACTGTATAGCTGGTGTCAGAATTAGGCAATAATGACATCAGTAAAATCATAGGTGTACTACCTACACAGGGGCCAAATAAACACTTCTCTTCTTGCAGACAGAAGTGTACGATGAGCATCTTAGTATGCACAGTCTAGACGTAAGATGTATAAACATATACATGTATTTGACATATTGATTTTATATTTAACATATTGATTGCTGCACTTGAATAATATCAAGTCACATATGTTGTGTTGTTTGTCACTCGAAGAGTTAAACAAATGCAGGTTCTGGTCTTCTCAGTTTATGACCTTATTCTGTTTTGACTAATAGGTCGTAAGTCAAACTAATTATCATCATCCTGTAAGATTACATAAATTGGGTCATCAGTTTCTGTTGACTGTCTGATCAGCTCTCTCCACATTTGGCTATCAGTTGCGATGGACTTCATGGTTGCATGCTTGAGGTCTGTTCAGTGAGTCAGGTTCTGTAACCAGGTCTTTCTTGGTCTGCCTCTTCTCCTCTTTCCCACTACTGAGCCCTGTAGTATTGTTTTTGAGAAGCTATTAGATCTTATTACATGTCCATACCATTGCATTTTTCGCCTTTTCACTGTAGTTAAGAGAGGTTCATAGTTGCCAATGTGCTGTATAATTTTTTGGTGAACCTCTTTGTTTGTAATGTGGTCTCTATGATAAGCCAAGAATTTTTCTGAAACATTGCATTTCCAATGGCTGTATCTTTATTTCAAGTTCAGCTGTTAAGGTCCACGTTTCACAGCCATATCTAATAGCAATCAAATCTTAGTTTTACATGAAATGTTTTTGGATCTCCATAATGTTTGCTGCTTGGCAATAACTGATTGTAAGTCAAATTTATATCTTTATTTTCTTTCAAACATGTTAGTTTTCTCTCTCTTGGTTCATTTATGGGCGGGGCTACTCATTTTTTAATATAAAGAGTGACTTGAAGCCTAATCTGGCAACATTGGTGCTAGCTAATGGGAGGCCTGTGGCTCCAAACAGTTCGCCATACCTGGTTAGGTCAAACAGACTCTGATGCCTTGAGCCTGCTCTGCTCTAGGCATCATTTCTGGGAACTTTTTGACTCGACATCTTTCTTTATTTACTAAATTTGTATGTGTGTAATCATAAGTGCGGATGGTCGCAAGCAGCATAGGTCCTTAGAGGAGAAGATGTAGTCATCTGGGTCACATTGCATTAAAACAATAACACCGCGATAAATAAGAAGTTAAAGTAACAACTACAGCAGGTTGGGTTTTTATAGCAACTTGATCTGTTTATTTTATTGTTGGGCTTAAGAATATTAGAAAATGTATAATTGAATTATGCTTTCCTAGTAAAAGTTTTTGATGGAAAATATTCCAGATTTATGACAACATTGATCAGTAGGCAGTATGGATTTTATCGGAGCACAGGTGTTACATATTCTTATTCTTCGCGTTCACCAGCTGTAAACTCTGGTGGAAGATTCTGGTTGCTCGTCCACTACTGAACTGCATTCCTGCTCCAGAACCTGAGTGTTGCGTGTGCATCAGTTTTACAGATCTCATTCTCTTGAATACAGACTGTTGGTTCCTTGCCTCTCCGGCAGATGCACTCCGACTTCAAAGGAAGCTTCCCAATTAGTCGACTCTTACGACATGCTTTTGGGTAGGCAGAGGGTCTATTCTTGTTTTCCTCACAATGGGGCCCTGGAACCCACACGGGGGAAGGGGTGTTACAGAAGTCTGTGGATATTCCATTATTTATTGTATATTGAACCAGTTGGCCTATTTGGTTACAGTGCAGTTACACAACAGATACCATGTATAATGTTTTAACAATTGTATAAAAACAATTATGTAATGTCTTCTGTACACAATGAAGAGAAAACTGGAGCGGAAGAGAGGCAGAGAGAGAGAGAGACCAGGTTAGATAATGTTGGGTGAATTGCAATAAGGAGACAAAGAAATATTTGTATAAGAACAGATTGGCAGTGCACAAAAAAGAAGGTTGTAGACACGCATAATGGCCACTGATATGAGTCGTGGACTGTGAGAGGACAGTAAAGAAAGGAAAATAGCTTAGTAGTTAGTGCACATGTTTAACAATACAGGTCTGGGTTCAGTCTGTAGCGCTTTCTGTGGATTCCGCGGCCCCATCTTGTAGGGAAGAAAGAATAGATTAACTGCCTCCTTTAAAAGCAGGTCGTAATAGGCTACGTTAGGGATTTCTCCTCCGAAATGTGTCTGTCCGAGAGGTGAGGAACCAGTATGCATACTAGTAAGCCAGATTTGTAAAATGAATGTGCACAGTCAATTTAAATTCTGAAGCAAGAAACTCCGGTCCTGACACAAAGCCAGAAGTTGATGATCAACCAAAACTTTCTGCAGGAGTTTACATCCGCTGAATGCTAAGAAGAAGAAGAATCTCCAGCACTTTCAGGATGCTTTTCTCTTATCTAACCAGGGCACCTTTAGGATTGACCTGGCTTCATAAAAAGGGCAAAGTATAATTTTCTAGACAAGAAAAGTGGTGAAGAGATCACCCTACATCAAGACTATTTAACTGGTGGCCCTTACCTTGTTGCAGTGAATAAATCTTCAAACACAGGACGTGGAACTTGTCCTCTCTACTGCTCCACATGTGACATTATGTGTGTGTGTGTGTGTGTATATATATATATATATATATATATATATATATATATATATATATATATATATATATATATATATATGCGTGCGCACACACATACACACACACACACACACACACACACACACACACATATATATATATATATATATATATATATATATATATATATATATATATATATATATATATATATATATATAGCACATTAACATAAAATAGGACTCGGAAATGATACACACATAAAGTATCAAACATTTTGACCAAAGTCATACTTTTCTATCACATGATCTTTCAGGCAAGGTTTTGCGCTGTGTTTAGATGTATGTAATGGTTGTCAGATTAGTTTTTTCATGTTGTCATAGTTTAGTTTCTGTTTCTTTCATTCATGGTCAGGATGTTCCATTTTCCCCCCATCATTTATCAGTTTTTGGGGGACAATTCACTCATAGTAATAGTTTAGTTGGAGCCACTCCTGTCTGTCATTACTGTTTGCCCTCTAGACTTGGACTGATTGTAAGACAGCACAGAGGCAGACAGATGGTCAAGGATTATGTAACAGAAAATTGTATTTGTTTAGTAGTGCTTATTATGGGAATGACATAGTGGAGGGTTGGAATGTATTTTATAGATGTGTATTTAGAGTCAATGTTAATGCAATAGGTTGATGTCGAGGCCGGCCTCTGCCACGATGTAAAAGATGTGTGCAAGTGGGACATGAATGAGCCAGGTATTGAGGTAGATTCATGGGAACAAACTGCCATTGACTGTATTGAGTGTAGGGGCAAATCTTGAAGGGAATGAGAATGAAAGAAGAAATTATAGCAGAAAGGATGAGAGCTGGGCATCTGAAAAGAAACACGCTAAGTACATATTATGACAACAGTGGTCCAAAAATTTCATGCTCTAATTGTGGAAGTCTTTTTTTAATGTGGGTGGGTCTTGCTAGTGACACTAGTCCCATGCTCCCTCACTAGTCCCATGCACTCTGATCTGAAAAGATGGAAAGGCAACAAAAACAATTTTGCCATAAATTACCTGTTGATTTATGTGAAGCATAGATGGTTATGATAAATACACATGCTGGACAATGAGGAGCGTATTATCTTGTTGAGTTGTTTTATTATAGCTGTTAAATCCTTTCATCTTTCGATTCAGCTCTGTGACTTAGAAATTAGTGAATATTCAACGTTTATTAGGGTTCAGTTCTGTGTGCAGTTAAAAAAAAAACACAACCACTCCGCTGGCTTTTAGAAAGTAGTACGAGAGTCACACCTAGGAAGAGACTAGGGCCTCAATACATTATTTTCCTACAGCTCGCAATGGATATATCACAGGCAATCTTTATTGTGGAGACAGCAAAATTGTATTTTATATTGCAATCATTGCTGCAATCTATGGTTAAGCACCAGCAATGAAATCACAATTTAGCAACATATGGAGGTGAGTCCATAAGAGAGAAAATGGGGCTTTTTGAGCTGAAATGCTATAGAAAGATTTGCAAAATATCATGGACAAAAAAGAGAAGAAGAAAAAATCTGAACATTAAGGAAGATTGGCTAATAAACAGCATCTTGTCTCAGAAGTTTAAATATTTTGGTCATATCAAGCACCCAGGCGGACTGGAAAAGTAATAGCAGAAGGCGTGGTATCAGGTAGGAGGGGGCAGGGGTTGACCAACACAAAAATCGGCACATGATACAAGTGACTCCTTGAATTGGAAAATACACGATGCAGAAGAGCTGGCCAGGAGACTGAGTTTCTTTCAGGCAGACCTTGATGAGATCAACATTCCGCAAAGGATATATATATATATGTCTAGTGTCAAATCACTATTTTATAATATTTACGGTATAACATTTATAGTTTGTATCCACCGCAGCCAAGACAACTCTAGCTTTCTTTATTCTACTTTATTACCCCCCACTCCCTCTCAAGCGGTCCCAGCCCCGCCCGCCTACGATCAGCGCTGCCTCTGAGACACCCCTGATGTTTTGCCTGGCCCACCACAAACGGACGCATGATTACCCCAGGGCCATTGATAGTATAAATGGTCCCGGCCAACCCCCCCCCCCCCCCCCACATCCTTATCTGTCACGTGACCCAAGCTGCCAGGTGACCTCAAATCATAGGAGCCGCAACTGACCTCTGCCTCCTGGTCGGGAGGTAGAAATCGTTCCTCACTCCCCCCTCTATTTCTTTTGTAGAGGTGGTCTAACAAAGGTTATCAAGCGAGCCGCCAGTTCATTTGCGGCCCATAAAGCTAGCTTTTACTACTTTCAGACTGCTGGTTTCTTGCCTCTCAGGCCGACGTGCTCTGACTTGGAAAGAAACCTTAAATTAGTGGACTCTTACGACATACTTGTTAAGGATGCAGTGTGTCTATTCTTCCCCCCCCCCTGCACTGGGGCTTAGAACTCACGCATGTAAACCATATATATATATATATATATATATATATATATATATATATATATATATATATATATATATGTATGTATATATAAATCATCTCTTTAAGTTGTGGCGGAGTGGCTAGATGCCCGCCGCTAATCGGAAGGTCATGGGTTCGCTCACTGGCGGAGCCGGATTTAAAAAAAAATTACCTTGGCTCCCAGGTGGACCCAGCCTTGAGTGGGTACCGGGTGCAGTTCCGTAAGTAAAGGTGGCCAGCGTGATGCCGACCAAATCACCCATATTGTGCCGATTGGTCTATAAAAATATAGGTCTAGCTTAATACACTTAAAATAGGTCATAAAAAAGAAGTATCATACTGACAAGCAAGGACGATCATGTCTCTCCAAGGTCTGGTGTCGGTTGTTAGCTGACTAGCTGTGGTTATTGTGGTATACAACTAGGCAGCGTTAGGCAGTCATTTACAAACATTCCTTATGGGGGCAGGGATCACCAGGATCTCCTAGGTATATGGTGCTATGACGCCAAGGAACGAACACACAGACTACACAATATAATTACTATAATTGTTCGAAAGTAGATTTAAAATATATTGAATGTGACAATCTATACTCATGCTGTAGTATACAATTAACACATAAGCTATTCGATATTGTAGAACCAGAACGAACGAACGAACTTTATTTTCAAAGGGTCACAAATTGGGCACGCAGGCTCGTCTTACATTCGGCCCTTCCAGTCAACCATCTTTCGCACAGCAGTTGTATTTTCACTAATAAAGCATTTTATGATAATATGCATATTATGAATATTATAAAAGAACACAAAAGCATGAGTTGTAAAGTGCATGCAAAAACCCGCGCGTGCATACATACACCCACATACACACGATCACCCACTCACACACACATACATGCATGCAAACATTACATACATACGTACATACATACAAACAAACATGCAAACAGGCATACACACAGGCATACATACATTCAAACAAACATACATAGATACAAACATACAGGCATACATACATTCGTAATACAGGCATACACACATACATACAAACATACAGTCATAAATACAGTTATGCATGGAGACACTCCCACAAAGACACACACGCTCACTTGGACAAAAATACAGACACACAAACAGATTCTTACATATAAACACACACAGGAAAACACAGCACACATATTTACATTCGTGCTCACACACTTACACACACCCCACACACACACGCGCAGACACATACATACAGCCACATAGGCACACACGCAGTCAAACACACACACACACAAATACAAACAGGCAGACAAACACATTCTGACACCCACACAGACAAACACGCAGAAATGCATACACATCAAACACATAGAAATACACACGCATATATTCAGCACGCACAGACATATACTCTGACATGCAGACACATACACACAACAAAGGGGCACACACAATACACACAGAGAAACACACATAGACATACACAGACAGACACATGCTGACACATACACTCACGCAGACAGACATACAGACACCCACACACAGAGATACATACATACAGCCTCATAGACACACCCGCAGACAAAACACATAAACATACACAGGCAAACATGCAGACGAACACATACGAGAACACACACAGACACAAACGAAGATATACACAGTCACATGAAATATGCAGAAAAACACTGAGACACACACACATGCAGACAAACACAGAGACACACACACAGACACATATACACAGCTACATGGATCCAATCGCACCATAAATGAAGACATATATATCCATTATATAAATTTAGAAACAAATGTACATATCCCAGTTATAAAACAGATGGGTTGAATATGATATTGAGTTATAAGTTAGATTATCTTCACAGCACATAGGCGCTCAAATTTCCCTCTCAACATATTCAACAGTGTCGCACGGTTAATCGTGCCAGTGCTATTGTTGGTTAACAAGACTTCGTGTGTGTCCGGTGTGCTTCTCATGCTTGGCTATGCCGATCTTGACTTCCAATTCTCGTATTTTTAGCAGTGAGTGGACTTGTTGCTTTTAAATCCTCAGAACGTCCTATCTCTCTAAGGGCAATGACAATGTCTGCCTGATCTTCAATAAATGCAGCACCTACCAGTCTATCAGCTCTTTCATTACAAAGAAATGTAGTAGTAGCAGTGGTGGTGCTGGTAGTAGTAGTAGTAGTAGGAGGAGGAGCAGCAGCAGCAGTAGTAGCTATAGTAGAAGTATTAGCAGTAGTAGTAACAGCAGCAGCTGTAGTAGTAGTGTTAGTAGTGGTAGTGTTTGCGTTGACCGGCTGTAAACTCCTAGGAAAAGACCTGGCTTTTCGTCTATTTCTGAACTTTAGCTTTCTTCCAGGAGCTGAGTTTTGCATGTGCATCACTTTTACAGATCTTGCTAATTTGTATTCAGACTGCTGGTTCCTTGCCTCTCTGCCAAATGCACTCTAACTTTAAAGGAAACCCACAATTCGTTGACTCTTACGACATGCTTGATGGGGAGGCAGTGGGTCTCTTGTTTTTCCAATGAGACCCCGGAATCCACACAGGGAAGTAGTAGTACCAGCAGCAGTAGTAGTAGAAGAAGTAGTAATAGAAGTAGTCATTTTTTAAAACAATCCTGTTCAACTATCAGGTTTTTACTTGGGATATACAGTATTATTCGCACATTTCAAATTTTTACTTTTTTTTTTTTTCCCGGCGCTGTTATATCTTTTTCGTATAGTACACAGTAGTAGTCATTTGTCAGATATACCAAGTACAACCTTCTGGGTTATAATTAGGATATACAGTGTTAATTGAAATCTCATAGTATTTATATGTTATTTTATCTTATAATATAGTACAGTCTCAAATAGAAAGCAAACGACATTGTTTCATAAGTTCAGAAGGAACAAAACTGTGACTCTCCATTTTACAACTTTCGGAGAATATTAAACTGTGAGGTGGACTTTTAACAGAAAGGGACTGGCTGTACTTTATAAACAGTGGGATGGGTCGGACTTTGGCCTGAAGGGACTATGTTGTAAAAAGTATGAAGTGATAGGTTTCAGGGACAGGTGCTGACACACCATCACGGAAGTGAGATCTGGTCCGGCGATCAGCAAGGTGGAGACCCGGGCTGCCAATACTAGGGTTTCCCCTAAGATCTGGAGTTTTTAAATGATGCCTTGGGTTCACAAATGGGAATCTTGGGTTTATGTATAAATGAATGTATGTCAGTTGTACCCCACCAGGACATCACACAAGCAATAAACACCCGGTGTCACAAAGTGCCACCATGTGGATAAGAATCACCCGTGGAGAGGTCCCGGAAACCCCGTACAATTGCTGTGCCATATATCAGGCCCGTCTATATTTGGGGCCCCCTTGGCTAAAGCCAGGATGGGGTTTCGAAATGACTAAAAATTGTATCCCACAAGGGGATGATGAGTTATCTAGGGTTTAAAAAATATGTGCTTAAATATTAAAGTAGGTAAATGTTTCGTTTCGTAACTAAAAAAAAAGGTTTGTACTTTTTACTATTCTTGGGTTTTTGTGTGTTCTTGTGTTTTTTGGTCACCTTAGCTTGGGTTTTGATAAAAATACAATTGGCAGCCCTGGGAAAGAACTTGCCTTCTGTGAGAAATTATGAAAGTGTCTGCTCAAGAAATTATGACCATGGGCTGTTTGAGTAGCAGTCGCTTAACGTCGAGAAAAAGGATACTGTTAAAAGTTGTTTCTGACGTTATATGTGTACTACTGGGTAACATTAACGTTCTAAATAGTCAAGATACTGTGGTAGTTAAATAAAGGCGTTATATTTGTTTTATTTTTATTTAACTACTAGCTGCTTCCGACTTCGGCTATGTCCCATGTTATTACTATAATTATTTACTGGGCCCCAATGTGGGGGGAAAACAAGAATAGACCCAATGCCTGCCCAAAAGCATGTTGTAAGAGTCGATTAATTAGGAGCTTCTTTCGAAGTCGGAGTACATCTGCCTGAGAGGCAAGGAACCAGCAGTCTGCATGCAAATGAGTCAGAATTGTAGGACGGATGAGCACGCAACATTCAGGTTCTGGAATAAGACTAGAGTCAATTGGACAAACAACCAGAAATTTCCGCCAGAGTTTACAGCTGGAACATGAAGAAGAAAAAGACGGTTATTCTCCGAATAACAGTCCCAAATTATCGAGGCCTTGCTTTAAACCTGCTGTTATTTGAAAAGGGTTTGTCTTTTTGTCTTTATATATTTCTATATTACAGTATATATTTCTATATTACAGGTGTCTTGTATTCATAGTTTGGTCAAGGTAATTAACTTCTTTGGTATTCCAAAGCCCTTATAGTATTCCATAAACTGTTTCTATGTACACTATCATACTACACCTTTTTAAAATCTACAAAAACATTATGTGCATCTCTTCTATTTTCCCAATTTAAACAGTTTATGAGTTTCGTTGTTGCTTCTCACTCTCCATTCCCCGCTGTTAGCATCTTTGATGCATCCAATGATTCGTTATAAGACTGTTTTCGAAAACCTGTATTAAGGCTTCATCTCTTTAAGCTGTACTCCAAGTTTCAGAGCCATATAAAACGACTGGTCTTATCAAAATTTTATAGATTTTGATCTTGGTGTTGTGAGACAGATACTTTGATCTTGGAAGATGTTGAAGGGCATAGTATACTTTATTTCCAGATTTTATATGCAATTAGCTTTATTGCTTCAAATATTGCTTTACACTTTTTTTGGGTGTGATAAAATAGAAATTGCACAGTTAATATTTAGACAATTAACATTGTTTCAATAACATATTGGACTTAATGAAAAAGTTGATTATTTTCCTCAGTTTTATCTTTTGGGGAAAACTTCTTCAAAGATGGCATGGGTATTCTATATATAGATTTTAGTTCCAGTAATAAATTGCATGCCATGGATTATCGTCAGAGTTGATTGAAAGTACAGGAGACAGAAGGTTGTGGATATGATATGACTACCAATGCCATACGGCATGGACTTTAAGAATAATAATAATAAATTGCTTGACCTTGCCACGCAGGTTTCTGGGGCTGTTTATGTGCACATACTGAAGTGTCAATACTTTACTAGCCATACATAATTATTAATTAATTATGAGGCAAGATGACAACACCTGCAAGACTACTTACAGCCCAGAAAAATTTGAAGCTGAAATAGTTATAATCTGTTACATTTTAAAGAAACATCGGCTCTTTCCCAATATCCTACCTCAAACGGGAAATCCACAGGTAACAGGACAGTCTAATATTTTAGGGGGGTCGTAGGTGTAATAATTTGGCATTTCATTTGCTGTGCAGTTTTCTGCTGTGCAGTTTTCACTTTTCAATACTTCTTTTTTATGTGGTGTGCTGTTTTTTGCTGTGTATTTTGGGGAAAGGGGGGGGGGGGGGGGGGGGGGGGGGGGGGGGGGGGTTGTGGACTATGTGCAATCAGAAGGATGCAGTTTTTGTGAATTTTTTTCTTGCTGGATGAGGAAACAGTTTTTCTGGGAAGAAGGATGCAGTTTTGCAATTTTTTGTGTGTGAACTCTAAATGCAATAAGCAGGATGCCTTGCCAGTCGGGGTACTTTGGGGGTGGCCCTAAAAAAGGTCAATCGTTCTAGATGTATACTGCTGTGTTCACGAATGAATGTAGGAGGCACCCTCTTGTGGGACGTAGGTGGGTTGTGGTTAGGGCCAGTTCTAGATGTTTTGGAATTTTTGAAAGTGCTCACATCGTGGAATATAGAACACCCGATATCGCTGGCAACTGACCACAGTGAATAACAGACGTCATTCTAGATTTATACTGCAGAGTTCACGAGTTGACAGTTAGAACAATTGTACGTGTTACTAAATCTGGAGAGATGTAAGAATGCAGCAACTAGTGTGTCGACAGCAGAGACGACAGACTATTGTTCTGTTGGCTAGAATGTAACAATGTCTGCCAGAATGGTCGCGAACACGTTGCCTAACCCTAACCTTTAACCTAAACCCTAACCCTACACACTAACCCTAAACCCTAACCTGACACCTAAACCCTAACCCTAACCTTTAACCCTACACATCTGTACTGGGCAGAATCCCATGATGCTGCAGGAAAACAACGCTGCTCTTCTTGTCACAAGTGAAAACCTAGTCAACACCTTTACACACACAGAAAGCAGGGAAACACAAAACACAGACAGTGGGAAACCTGGTCTTACCACCTTCTAAAATATTGGACTGTCCCATGACGTCATCTAGGGTAGGGTATTGGGAAAGAACCGAAACATCTTAGCAAATAGTTTTATATCCACCTGGTGACTTGAACTCTTTCGGTACAAGTGGTTAGGAATATGTGGAATTGCTTGAGAAGATACAGAATCAACAAGTGTGTAAGAGCTTATATACATCAAATAAAAGTTGCATACGAACAAAAGCAGGTGCAACACAACCTTTTGAAGTAAATTCAGGAGTAAGACAGGGATGTGTGCTATCTCCCCTGCTTTTTATATCATACATCGACAATATATGCTGAGAAGCAGAGAGCGAAGAAAAGGATGATCTCAGAATTGTTATTTGCAGATGTTAAAAACAAAAGTTTGTTGCATATTTTTTATAGTTTGTTGGCTAACCAACTCCCTCATTTATTAGCTGTTGTAGTTTTTCTAGGCAAATTTAAGTCGAGTAGTTTGCCATTGCTTTCTGGACGGTTGGCTCTTGGTACCCCTGTCAAAACCAACGCAAGACATACCATCTGCAGCTGGAATCGAACCGGACACTACCAAGCACGTTCTCAACGTCTAAGCCACAAACATTCACTGTCAGTGTATGTAGTACATAAAGACTGATAAGTTATGAGATTTTTTGATTGCAACGTCTGAATAGAAAATTTTTTCCCCCAGTTTCCGCGGGCATTATTGCTATACAGTTTGGATCAAAGCCATACAAGCGAGGCTTTTTTTGCGATGATGAAAGCATCACACATCCATTTTTGGAAGATACAATATCAGTGTCCTTGGCAGCTTGCATAGGAATATTTCTGCCTTTGGTTGTGGTAAGTATCCAGCATATTCTTAATGCTGGAGAATGACCAAAAAGGATGCACACAAGCTGTCTACCTTCCACCACACATGTCTACTTAGAATTATCAAAAATTTCTGGCCAGATACAATCTCAAACACTAAACTACTTCAAGTCACAAACCAAGAAACTTTAGACAATATGATAACCAAGAGAAGATGGAAATGGCTTGGCCACGTTATGAGAATGAATCCTGAAATACCTGCCAAAACAGCTCTCACATGGACACCTGAGGGAAAGAGAAAACAGGGGCACCCAAAAACAACATGGAGAAGGACGATGGAAAGTGACCTGAGTGTGGCATCTTTGACATGGAAAACTGCACTGAAGATTGCACAGGACAGGAAAGCATGGAAAGTCCTCTCTGAAGCCTCATGTGCCACACTAGGCACAATGAGAACTGATGATGACATTCTTTATCACGACACTTATCTTTCAGTGTTTAGTTATTTATCTCTTCTTCTTAGCATTCACACCTGAAAAATCTGGCAGAAAGTTCCACTCCTGGACTTTGGTCTTGATCTAGAACTTGACTTTTGCGTGCACATCTGTTTTACAGATCTGGCTTATTTGTATGCAGATTGTTGCTTCCTTGCCTCTCAGACACATGATTCCGACTTTGAAGGAAACATCTCTGATTAGCCGCCTTATATTACATCCAATAACATCAACAACAAACAAACAAACAAAACATGAATCTATTAACTCAAAACATTTACTGTGTATGCTTATAATAAGCCAGATTTATTTATTTTGCTCATTATTATCATCATCATCATCATGTGCCCTGCCAACTGGCGTAGGCGCTCATGCGTCTCCACAGATCACGATCCCTGGTTGCCTGGATCGGCTCTGTTGATGATATTCCTCCATGCCATTGTTTCTGCCCATTTAGCATCATCTCTCTTGGTCTGCCGATAAGACCATACATTTTTTCGAATGTTTTAAATTTTAAAAAAATGTGTTTAAAACATTTATTTCCTAATTTTGGGAGAAAAAGAAGTAGAGTTCGTCTTATATGTGTTTTCTATACGAGACCAGGCCTGTCGCTCCGATTCTTCTTACTTTTTCTTCTCGTTCACTGGTTGTAAATGCCGCCAGAAAGTACCGATTCTTTGTCCACCTCTGGACTTTAGTCTGATTCCAAAATCTGAGTGTTGCATACACATCCGTTTTACAGATCTGACTTTTGTATGCACATTGTTGGTTCCTTTCCTCTCAGGCAGATGCACTCTGACTTCGAAGGAAGCCCCCAGTTAGTCTACTCATATGACATGCTTGTTGAGGAGGCTAGAGGAGGTCTATTTTTTTTTGTCCCCTCAATGGGGCCCCTGAACCCACACGGGGAACCTGATTCTGAAGAGAACATGGCCATCTGACATTGGATTTGAAACAACCTTGGCAGACTGTGGAACAATATTCAGCATATGTTTAGATTTAGGATGTGTAAAATATTTTTCATTTATTTTCATCCAGAAAGTTTGACACTTGTAGCCCAAGGTTGGAATAAAAATTGCATTTTCAATTTGTCTTGTTGTCTTAACAATTTGTTGTCTGATTTCAGATAATTCTTCTAGAATTCTTGTTACGGAAGAAAGGTCGAGGGTATACAGTTTCAATCAACAAAACTGTTGGGAAAGCATCTTGGATATACGGTACCTACAACACCATTATCGTATTTGTCTTTGGAGTTGCTGTGACACAGTTTCTCACAGAAGTTGGGAAGAATTCTATTGGCCGTTTGCGACCTCATTTTCTTACGCTGTGCAATCCAGATTGGAAAAAAGTGAACTGCAGCACTGGCTACATCACAGATGACGTTTGCACATCCACGGACACAGGCATGATGAATGAAGCCAGGTATGGTACAACTTGTGTGACATATCGGTTCTAGAATTGTCCAGGTTAAATTTAAAAAGGGTGTCCCCATTATCAAAGGCTGATAACAGACATGGGGCTAGATGAAAAAAACATGTGTAAGAATTTGTGAACAAGAAATTTAGTGGGGATCAGGCAAGGAGAAATGACACCGCACATGTGGTATAAGAAAGGCAGTAATTTGCAGTTCTATGTGAACAGTTAGCATTTACAATTTAAGACATTTTCTGTAGGAGATGACTGGAGTACTGCGATGTTGATTCTGAAATCTGTAATTCAAGGGGGGGGGGGGGGGTGCGTGGATTTTTGTCGTGGTATGGGACGTCGCAGGTCGACCCAGCCTAAAATGGGTACCAGGATGGGCTGTCCTGGGAAAGTAAAGACAGCCGGCGTAATGCTGACCACATTACCCACAGAGTGCTGATGGTCTGTAAAAATATGGGACGCTCTGCCCATACCCGATACGCCGAAAGGCGTAAAAAGGGAACTTTACTTTTAATTCAAGGGTGTCCCCATAAGTTTCATACCTCCAAAAAATAAACATATTACAAATGCCCTTACAAGCATAACTCAGCTGTGTTTGTATATGTTTTTCAGCACTGGGGGACATCAAACTGTGTTTTCAAAACAGTGATGGTCATGTAGAACACAAAACAATGGTGGTCATGTAGAACACAAAACAATGGTGGTCATGTAGAACACAAAACAATGGTGGTCATGTAGAACACAAAACAATGGTAGTCATGTAGAGCATAAAACAATGGTGGTTATGTAGAACACAAAACAATGGTAGTCATGTAGAACACAAAACAATGGTGGTCAGGTAGAGCACAAAACAATGGTGGTTATGTAGAGCACAGAACAATGGTGGTCAGGTAGAGCACAAAACAATGGTGGTCATGTAGAGCACAAAACAATGGTAGTCATGTAGAACACAAAACAATGGTAGTCATGTAGAACACAAAACAATGGTAGTCATGTAGAGCACAAAACAATGGTGGTCATGTAGAACACAAAACAGTGGTAGTCATGTAGAACACAAAACAATGGTGGTCATGTAGAACACAAAACAATTGGTAGTCATGTAGATGTAGAACACAAAACAATGGTGGTCATGTAGAACACAAAAACATGGTAGTCATGTAGAACACAAAAACAATGGTGGTCATGTAGAACACAAAAACAAAACAATGGTAGTCATGTAGAGCACAAAACAATGGTTGGTCCATGTAACAATGGTGGTCATGTAGAACACAAAACAATGGTGGTCATGTAGAACACAAAACAATGGTGGTCATGTAGAGCACAAAACAATGGTGGTCATGTAGAGC